TTTGGGGTCTCTATCTCAGACTGTGAATTTCTAAATTTCTGAAACTTTTATCGAGAGGAAGGGACTCAAAGTAGCTGATTTCTCCGAGTCTGAGAGTATGGCAGCATGTTTCCTGCCCCAAGCCAGGGTGTCCAGATGCAGGCTATGGGAAAGCCATTCGGCCCACAGAAGAAAATAAGAGATGCCAGCAAGTCAGTTTGTTTGTTTTTTGATTTTTGTGGGTTTTTTTTTAATTTTATTTTATTTTTGTTTTTTTTCCCCCCCAGTAATGGCATTATTAGCCTCATGGGAAGAACCAATTTCAATTTTGGGGGCACATTTCTAAAACTTCTGCAAGAGTAGCTATTATTCACAAGGGAGAAAGGAAGGAGGCAGTGAACTGTAGAAACCAGGGAGCCCAGCAGGGTATTCGCCTAATTCATGTGACCATAGCCTCCAGAGCTCCCACTACTTCTCATTTATTTGTTCGTGTCTTATAGCGCTGGCCAGGGCCTCCAATACAAATTCTAAACAGAATAGAGAAATGGGTGCACCGTGTCTTCTTCCATTATTAAGAGAAATGTCTATAATTTCTTTTTTGTTGTTGTTGTTAATCCTTGCCCAAGGATATTTTTTCCCCATTGGTTTTTAGGGAGAGTGGAGGAGAGAGGGAAAGACAGAGAGTGATACTGATGTGAGAGAAACACATCAATTGGTGCCTCCTGCACGAGCCCCTAGCAGGGCCCCGGCTGGGGAGGAGCCTGCAATCAAGTTACGTGCTCTTGGCCTGGAATCGAACTGGGACCCTTTGGTCCACAGGCCGTCATTCTATCCACTGAGCCAAACCGGCAAGGGCTCTATCATTTCTTCATTAAGGGTGATATTTACAGTGAGGTCTGAATAGATGTGTCGCATGAAAGATCTAGGACAAAAGTAAAAAAGAAATCCAGATCACCCTATTTTGGTTAAATATTTTGCTCTGCAAAGCACAGGGAGGGAAATGTGCTAGAGCCATGGTTGGCAAACTGTGGCTCTCGAGCCGCATGCGGCTCTTTGGCCCCTTGAGGTTGGCTCTTCCACAAAACACTACGGCCTGGGTGAGTCTATTTTGAAGAAATGGTGTTAGAAGAAGTGTAAGTTGAAAAAATGTGGCTCTCAAAAGAAATTTCAATCGTCGTCCCGTTGATATTTGGCTCTGTGGACTAATGAGTTTGCTAGAGCAAAAGAAGATGCTGAGCGAGCTGTCCCAGATTGGAGCCCTCGCTGGGCTGGGCTGAGGAAGAGGCTTTGCGTGTGGGCTTCATGCTTTCTGCTGCTAATTGTGCCTGTTCAGCAGGAGGAAGAGGAAGGAGGCTGCTGTTCGCCTAGGGAAGTTGGGGGACAGGTGGTTTGAAAGAGTTGCCAGAGGCCCATACCCTGGCCTTAGCCCATTCAGACCGTGATTTTGCAAATCTGAGAGTTGTTTACACAGAAATGTCTACAGCTCCTAAAACTGCCCCCAGCCCAGAAAGAAGGGGAAGTTATGACTGGAACAACACCTAAGAGGTTAAAGAACTCAAAATGCTGATCTTCTTGTTGTGTTGGATTGCTCACACCAGGAAAAAAACAAAACCAAAAACCCCACAGTAGCTCAAGTCTTGAGCTGTGCCTGGTGAGTCAGCTCCAGAGAGAAGCTCATTCTGGAAACTTAGACCTTTGCTTATGCCCCTGGATGGCAGAAACCATGCAGGAGGTGAGGACCAAGAGGCTGAGAGAGGGAGACCCTCCATGCACACATGTTGGGATCTAACCCTCCCTCTACTGCTTGCTATTTAAAAAATATATATATATTATTGATTTTTTACAGAGAGGAAGGGAGAGAGATAGAGACAACGATCAGCTGCCTCTTGCACACCCCTTACTGGGGATGTGCCCGCAACCAAGGTACATGCCCTTGACCAGAATCAAACCTGGGACCTTTCAGCCCACAAGCTGACACTCTATCCATTGAGCCAAACCCGTTTTGGCTACTGGTTGCTATTTTATCTTAACCTCTCTGAATCTCTTCATATACAAATAGAAAGAGCTCTCTTCATATACAAATGGAAAGATGACCTCTTTCAGAGTAGTTACAAAAAATTAAATGAGATAAACTAGTCACAAAGTTTAGTGCTAAGAAGTAAAATGATCAACACACATAGTGGGCCCATGTCAAAATTCTTATTTTAATTCACTCATGAAAGATCAGTAAAGATGTCTGTTTGCTTAAACCAGCTTGAAGAATATTTGAGAATCTATAAAAACAGCCAGAAAAGGTGTGTCTAAGTAAGACTCTTCAGTGAGCTGCGAGACACTTTTAACTTTAAAAAGAGTGATAAAAAAAAACCTTAACAGATAGGGGTTTACCATCTCTACCAGGCTATACAATCATATTACTCCATCATGCAGGTAAACTGGCTTTATTCACTGGGATTTGTTAGTCAAATATACTGTGTTGACCTTTGACATTTCTCAAAAGTGTCAGGTGGTGGAAGATTAACAAGTGGCCACACTTGCTTCTATTCAGACAGACCCCAACCGCAATCAAAGGTGTAAGCAATCAGCATGTTGTCTTTTTTTTCAGGGTCTGAGGTGGTATTTCCTGTTCACACTGAGACCCAGCAGAAGCCCAGACCCTCTTCAGCCCATTTGATTTCAGGCTGAATTCCCAGGCCAGGAGGCCCGGAGATAGGCTGGATCTGAACCCCAACAGGATGGTCTGGCTCTCAGGTGGAGGAATGCATGGGACATCCTTTCCATGGGAATAAGCTCATTTGCTCAGCTGCTAGACCCCAGTCGCCCAATTCTAGACCCTCCCCTGCTTTTAGGATTTTGCTCACAACCGTGAGGAACCCGGAGTTAAGAGGGGGGGAATGGGGGGGAGGGTAGAACCTGACTGAAGAAGCAGGATTTCAGACAGGTCATCCTTCCAGGCCCCGGAAATCTCAGTGGCCGGATCTGCCTCAATTGGTGAGCCAAGGTCTCCTTTGTGGTCCCACATGTTGCATGGGGTTTCCTGCTAAACAACTTATTTCTCAACTTCCCACTGCCCTGTTCTTCTGTGGCTGAGGAAACAGGAACCCACATCACCTGGCTCTGGGCTACCAGCCTGTATGACTCTGCCCAGCGGTTCCCGTAATGCCCACAATCCTGTTTGTGAACCTCAGTCTCCACGCCCCCCACCTTCCTGAGCCTTCCAGGGAGGGCCCCTCACTTCCACCTCTTTCTCTGGGCGGCCAGTGACAGTGTGCTCAACTGTTGAGAACTCAAGGTCAATGTGATTCTTTTTAAAAGAATATATTTTATTGATTTTTTTACAGAGAGGAAGGGAGAGGGATAAAGTTAGAAACATCGATGAGAGAGAAACATCGATCAGCTGCCTCCTACCTACCTCCTACTGGGGATGTGCACACAACCAAGATATGTGCCCTTGACCGGAATCGAACCTGGGACCTTTCAGTCTGCAGGCCAATGCTCTATCCACTCAGCCAAACCAGTTTCGGCATGTGTGGTTCACAACCGGTTCCCCTTCACATACAGTGAAACGCCAAAGGGGCGCTCTGTCACCTTCCCCATGGCTTCTGAGTGGGCTGAGTCAGCAGACCCTGTGGCAAACGAAATCTGATAATGGTAAGTCTCTCCCTCCCACCTCTCCAGAGGGGGTTCCTCTTCAGCCCAAGCTTTTGGGGATCAGAGGTGAAGGGCCTCTGGGTGCTTAGACAGAGGCTCAGAACCTCATGCACACAGAGGGACCCCAGCCTGCCTTTGTTTCCCCAGGATAGTGCACCCCAGCTTCACTGGGCAGGAGAAGAGGGGAGAAGAGTGTGGGCAGCAGCAGCGAAACTGACTGGCCCTTAGCAGCCTGTCCCTGCCAAGTCCGCCCACCCACCCACCAAACAACAGGCCATCGTGGAGTCATCGCACCTTTCATTCCTCACATCCGGCCGCAGGGCCAGGGGCCTTCACCTGTTTGGGGTCTCGGACCCTCTAGGGCAGTGTTTCCCAAACTTTTGACATATGTGTACCCCTTCTATAATTTTCATAACACGGAGTACCCCTCGTACTCATGAGAACGTAGAATTAGGCGCAGGTAAGCACAGTGCAGTGCATATTCCCACCAAACTCCAGTGCAATGTGTACCCCTACCAAACTTTTCCCGTACCCCTGGGGGTACGCGTACCACACTTTGGAAAACATTGCTCTAGGGAATCTGAGGAATGCCAGGGAGGAATGTGCTAAGGCACACACTCACCATGATGCATCCACTTCCGTCCCATTCAGAGATGTATAGTACACCTCCCTCACCAACACCGCTGCCTCCTCACCCCAGTGGGGGCCACAGAACACTTCCAAGGTGCAGCAAGAAGCCCAGCTCAGGGCTGGGCTCTGGAATTCTAAACACCCACCTCCTGTCATACCACACACAGAATTAGTCTCTCTCTCTCTCTCTCTCTCTCTCTCTCTCTCTCTCTCTCTCACACACACACACACACACACACACACACACACACACAAACACACTTCTATGCAGTGTTTGCCCTAATTTCCCAAGAGTCTCACCTAAGACACTTAGCTGGAAATTAATATTTAGTTGAGAGAACAATAGTGTTCCTTACATCCCTCTGTGTCCATGTCACGGTTTGGAAGACCATTAGTTACAGTGTCGTGGGCTTTTTAGAACCCCAAGTCCTAGAGCCAGGGACTCGGGGGGCCAGGGCTAGAAGAGACTCAGAAATCATTCAGGGGGAAATCATTTGGAGAGGAAACCAGACACATGGCAAGAACAGAAAGTTCATGAGACATAGGGCGTGGGGGCGAGGGGTGGGGGGGGCAACAGAAGCTTGGTTCTGTCCCTGTGGGTTTTCCAACTCCCCCCCACCCCCAAGGAGCCTCCTTCCACAAGAGGAACGCGAGAGAGAGGCCTGAGGTATCCATCACTTTATTATCATTGAGGGATGAGTCCAGGGGCCCAGCCCCAGGCCCAGCAGCCCCAGGCCCAGCAGCTACTCCTTGTGGATAGCTTCATGGGCAGCCAGGCCCACCTTTATCACCAGCGTCAGGTACTCGTGGAAGTTGATGGCATTGTCTTCATTGATATCCAGCTCTTTGAACCAGGTGTCTGCGCTCTTTTTCTGCCAAGATGGAGGAGGAAGGAGCAGAGTGTGAAGATCGGAGTAAGTGCTAGCTGCAGAGTGGCCATTTCCCCGGTCAGCAGGGGTGGGGGTGGGGAGAGACAGTGGCCCCGGGCGTCAGCAGAGCCAGGCAGAGAGCCAGGGGACACCCGGCCACACCTCACCTGCATGTACTGAGGGCACTCGGCCTCCAGCAGTTTTTTCAGGTCGTCCCTGTAGAGGGCGTGGTCGTTCCCTTGCAGCATGGAGTACCGGTGGTAGACCTCGATGAAGTTGTTGAGGGTGCTCTCCAGTTCCGTCAGCATGGTGCCCGAGATGTCGCTTCACCTGGAAAGGGGAGCACAGAGGTGGGGATGGCGCCTCTGCCCCCAGTGGAGTGAAGACTAAAGGACACTCAGAAGGCTCGTAACCCAAGTAGTGGCTTTGTCCTGGCCTGCACCATCCAAATAACCAGACCCAGAGGATGCTCTAACTGTGATGAGAAGGGGCGGGATGAAATGGATCAGAGTGGGGAGTGTGGAGTGTGGTAGGGAGTAAGTACACACACACACACACACACACACACACACACACAGTACCTGCCAACTCCATGCCTTCACCCTCTGCCCAAGAAAAGCCCAGCTTAAGAAAGGAACATGCCCTCACCTACAAGTGCTAGAGGGCTGGCTCTTGCTTTGTCCCTGGCTCACTCTTCTCCCCAGGAGATATGGATCTTGGTTCCTTTCCCTCCCTTCTCCCCACCCCCCAGCTTCCCCCGAGGAAGCCCGAAGTGTGGGGCCCACCAGCTCAGTCCACTTACCAGGTCTTCCTGAAACAGCGCTGACAGTTGACAGAGTTGACAGATGCTCAGGCTGAGCGGCGCTCCCTTTTATAGCGGCTGGGCTGGCCGCTGCCCAAGAGGGAGTGCAAGGCAACTCCTCCCTTCCAGGTTGCTACAGCCTCAGGTTTCCTAAGCAGGTGATGGGGCAATCAGGCAGCCTGGACAGTTCTGAGGGCCGGGGTGGGGCAGGGGAGGAAGAAGGGGAAGAGGAAGGCTTTTCCCGGGCAGTAGTGCCCAGCAGGGGAACCAGGAAGCCACCAGGGTGACCAAGCGCCCCCTCCGGAGTCCCTTGCTGTCCCAGTTGCTAGTTTCCTGATACCTGTGTCCTGTCCATCCATCGCTGAATGGGACGGAAGTGGATGCATCATGCTGAGTGTGTGCCTTAGCACATCCCTCCCTGGCTTTTCTCAGATTCCCTAGAGCAATGTTTCCCAAAGTGTGGTACACGTACCCCCAGGGGTACGGGAAGAGTTTGGTGGGGGTACACGTTGCACCGGAGTTTGGTGGGGATATGCACTGCACCGTGCTTAGCTGCGCCTAATTCTACGTTCTCATGAGTACGAGGGGTACTCAGCGTTACGAAAATTATAGAAGGGGTACACATATGTCAAAAGTTTGGGAAACACTGCCTAGAGGGTCTGAGACCCCGAAAAGGTGAAGGCCCCTGGCCCTGCGGCCGGATGTGAGGAATGAAAGGTGCGGTGACTCCACCATGGTCTGTTGTTTGGTGGGTGGGTGGGCGGACTTGGCAGGGACAGGCTGCTAAGAGCCAGTCAGTTTCGCTGCTGCTGCCCACACTCCTCTCCCCTCCTCTCTTGCCCAGTGAAGCTGGGGTGCACTGTCCCCGGGAGACAAAGGCAGGCTGGGGTCCCTCTGTGTGCATGAGGTTCTGAGCCTCTGCCTAAGCACCCGGGGGCCCTTCACCCCCCTGGGGCATGGCTGTGTGCCTCTGACCCCCAAGAGCTTGGGCTGAAGAGGAACCTCTTCTGAAGGTGGGGTGGGGTCTCTGGAGAAGCCAGAAGTGCTTCCTGTCCAAGAGAAGAGGAGGGGGCCCACTCCCCAGGATTTCAGGAGGAGCGAGCTGCTGCCAAAACCAACAAAATGCCCTTGAGATTAACCACTTCCGACGCCGAGGATCCGTCACACCTTTCCTCTCGCTACAAAGCGCTTCACAATCACATAATCTACTTAGAGCCTCAGAACACGCTGGTCAGGAGGTGGGGCACGGGACCCACCCAGCACAGACACGGAAGCTGAGGGCAGAGGGGCGAAGCGGTTCACGGGGAGTTTCCCGGTCTGATGGGCATGTCATGGCCAGACAGGATCCTGGAGCATGGGGCTCCTGAGAGTAATCTGACAAGGACTTGACTCTGCAGGGAAAACCCCTGTCCTCTCTCTTTCCTTCATGCATTCACCAAGGGTTCACCCTATGCTTCTCCAGGGCCTGGGCCACCATCGCCTCCTGGGGGAAGGAGATGGAATTAACCTTGGGGTTCATCATGTCAGTAACACCAGTGCTGTGTAACCTTGGCCAATTACCTCCCCTCTTTGTGCCTCACTAGTAGTTACCTCACTTATTAAGTAGAGATTTAAAACTCTTCAAGTAAACCATCATAGGAGAAAATACTTACAAGTCATATATCTGACAGGAGTTAATATCCAGAACATCTAAAGAACTCCTATCGCCCAACAACAATAACAAAACAACAATCTGATTGAAAAAGAAATGGGAGAATTTTAATAGACATTTTTACAAAGAAGACACCCAAATGATCAATAAGCACATGAAAAGATGCTCCAGATCACTGGTCACCCAGAAAATGCAAATCAAAGCAAGATAGCATCTCAACCCAGCACAACTAGAACATAGCTATCACTATAAACAGAGACGCATTGGGGAGGATGGGAAGAAACTGGGACCCTCGTGCAGTGTTGGTGGGAATATGAAATGAGGCTGCCACTATGGAAAACAGTATGATGGTTTGTCAAAAAATTAAAAATGCCTGGCCATTGTCCCATGCACCAAAAGGTCACCGGTTAGATTCCCAGTTAAGGCACATGTCTTGGCTGCAGGTCCCAACCCAGTTCAAGGTGCATATGAGAGGTAACTGATCTATGTTTCTCTCTCACATGGATGTTTCTCTTTCTCTCTCTCTCTCTCTCTCTCTCTCTCTCTCTCTCTCTCTCTCTTATCCATAAAAACATATTTTTTTAAATTAAAAAACAGAATTATCGTACGATCCAGCAATTCCACTTCTGGTATATATCCAAAATAATTGAAAGCAGGGTTTCAAAAATATATTTGGACACCCACGTTCTTAGCAGCATTACTCACGATAGCCAAAAATGTGGAAGCAACTCAAGTGTCCATCCACAGATGGATGGGCAAATAAAATGTGGTGTATATATACAATGGAATACCACACTGCCTTTATCTATCTATCTATCTACTTATTATTTTAAAATATATTTTATTGATTTTTTACAGAGAGGAAGGAAGAGGGATAGAGAGTTAGAAACATCGATGAGAGAGAAACATCGATCAGCTGCCTCTTGCACACCCCCAGTGAGGATGTGCCCCCAAACCAAGATACATTCCCTTGACAGGAATCGAACCTGGGACCTTTCAGACAACAGGCCAATGCTCTATCCACTGAGCCAAACTGGTTTCGGCACTACACTGCCTTTAAACAGGGAGGGACTTCTGATGCAGCTGCAACATGATGAACCTTGAAGACATGGTGCTAAGTGAATAAGCCAATCACAGAAAGACAAGTACTCTGTGATTCCAGGTATACGATGTGTAGTCAAATTCATGGAGACAGAACACAGAATGGGGTTGCCAGGCCTGGAGGGAGGAGGAGAGGGGAGCTGTTTGTTGAGTAGAGTACAGGGCTTCCGTTGCAGGATGAGAGGTCACAGGTCTGGAGATGGAACATGAATGCACTTACTCCTGAAATGGCCAAGATGGCAAATTGTATGTTCTGGGTATTTTGCCATAATTAAAAATAATTTTTTAATGTTCCCTCCTAAAAGGAAATAGAATCTACCATATAGTGTTGTTGTAAAGATTAACAATAGATGCAAAATATTTATGGTTTGTAGGCTTTTCCTAATATGTACAACGTTTCAATAAAAAGTTTGCAGAAAACAGTGTAAAGTGCTTAGAGCAGTGTGCAGCCAGCAAGCTCTGCGTGAGGGTAGAGCATCAGAGCTGCCCGTGAATGTGCCTGACACTCCAGCCGGATTGTCAACCCGTGAGAATCCAGATTGACCATCCACCTCTGCTTCCCAGCACCCAGCGCAGTGCCTGGCACACACCATCATAGCAACAGTACTCAATACTAACAGCAACAAATAATAGCAAAATCGTAGCTGAAAAAAAATCATAGCTGATATTTATTGTGCTTTTACCAGGTGCCACTTGCTATTGTAAGTGCTTTACTTACATTGACCCACTTAATTCTCACAACAATCCTGTGAGGTATGTACTGCCTTAATTCACATTTTACAGATGAGGAAACAGAGGCCCACAGGGAGACACCACATTCAGTGCATCAAATGACTGAGGTGACTTATGACATGTTGTGACATTGTCTGCTTCCTGCCTCTGCCGGGAATGCATCTTTGCCAGCCAGGTCCTCCTTATCCTGCCTGACCCAGCCCAGACACCACCTGGTGGCTACCCCTGGGCATCCCTGAGAGAGCTGTGGATCAGCTGCCTCCTGCACGCCCCCTACTGGGGACAGAGTGGGCAACTGGGGCATGTGCCCTTGACCGGAATTGAATCATGACCTCCTGGTTCACAGTCGATGCTTAACCATTGAGCCACAGTGGCCAGGCAGGAGATCCCTTTTGTGAAGCCACACACACACACACACACACACACACACACACACACACACACCCCCAAGAACAGAGCCTGTGGGGACAGCTCTCTTCACTCAGAGCTTCAGGAAAACAGTCCCCAGATGCAGTGAGGGAGACTCAGGCAGCAGGAGCCCTGAGCTCCGCCCAGGATCGCGTGCCAGTCAGGGGAGCATGTCTCCCCAGGCCACCAACTGTCTCCTCAGAGATGCCTCTCCAGACAGACGGCCTGGGGAAGCTCGGGGGAGCCAGAGCCAGGCTGAGCTGCCCTGGAAGCAGAGGATGCTGGGAAATTGGGCAAGCGTATGGGGGGGGGGGGGAGACAGAGCCCGCAATCGGGCTGTGGGACATGGGGCAACCTGGGGGAGCAGAACCTGCCGTGTTTATAAGAAAGGGCTCCTTCCTGCGTGTGTCCCAACAGACCTGAGCTGGCCGGCCAGGGTGGTGAAATCAGGACAGGCAGGCGGCCGTGAAGAAACCCTCCCCCCGTGCCCCCTCTCTCTCCTCCAAGGCGAGGAGGAGGCGAGGAGCGCTGGGCTGAGCTGCTCCTTAGACCTCAATGGCCTGTGAAACCCAACTTGGTTCAAAAGAAACAGGCAGAGAGAATCCCCTTGGGCCCGGGGAGGGATGGCTTGGATCTTTGGACATGAGGACTCAGCCCACGGGGATTCCAATAGGTTCCTGTATTCCTCCCTCCAACACGGCTGACCACCCACTGTGTGCTGGTCCGGCTGACCACCCACTGTGTGCTGGTCCGGCTGACCACCCACTGTGTGCTGGTCCGGCTGACCACCCACTGTGTGCTGACATAGGCCGTTGGGAGGGCATGTCCCTGGCTTGGAGGAGGACGCAGACAGCAGCCCCACCAAGGAGCAATGGGACACACCCCCCCCACCCCCCTACACACACAGGGAGGTCAGGCCCAGGAGAGCAGGAAGGCCCTGAGGGAAGTGGGTGGGGGCCCAGCTGAGTCCCCAAAGGCGAGTGTGGAAGGGGTGGCGATGGGGCCCCACCAGGGAGGGAGCAGCAGGGAAATCCCCTTCAGAGCTTGGCTGACCAGACAGAAAGGTCCCCAGGGAAATCCCCTTCAGAGCTTGGCTAACCAGACACAAAGGTCCGCACTCAGCCGCAGGGCGCTTCTGCCCTCTGTGACACAGACCCAGCAGGAGAGCAGCCAGGGCCCTTAAATGACACCTCCCCTCCCTCCCAGGCCCCCAATCACCTGCACAGGGGAGCAATGAGGGTGCGTCCCCTTAAAACCCATTGTTTCTACCACAGTGACTAGGACGTGGTTCCCAGAGGATCCTCAGAGAGAAACCCACCAAGAGGAGCCCTCGGGGGGCCTGAGGCAGAGGAGCCCCTCCCAGAGGGATTCTGGGTCTGATTCCTGAGCTCCCAGGAGAGAAAGGAACACAGACAACACAGACAGGGCAGGGAGGTCTCAGCCGGGAGGGGTCAGGGGCCAGGGAGGACTCAGGTCCGTGAGTCACAAGTAGCCCTGAGCTTGAGTAACGCCATGCCTGTCTTCATGTTTTATTAGTAAAACCAGACCCAGCCCTCTCTCCTCCAGGAAGACTTCCCTTATTGACAGTCACCCAACTGCCACTCATCGCTCTTCCCCCTCCCAGGCTGGCTCTGCCTTGGTCCCATCTCTGACTCAGCTACACAAATCCACCTCAAGGTCTGTCTGCCTCCCAGATTGGCCCTGACCCGCCCCCCAGGTAACTGCCAGCATCATCTTCTCCCCGTCCTGGCCCTTCTCTTTGTACGCTGACCCTTGGGGCTCTCGTCCAGAGACAAGAGACCTTCAAACCAGGGTCCATGCCGAGTGCCTCTGCCCTCTGTCCTGTCCCACCATGGAGGTGCCGTGAAGGAGTGATCAGCATCTCCTTTCAGGGGGTCAGCTCCCTAAAGAGAAGGCTCCTCTCTCTCAGACAGGGGCTGAGAGCAGGGGCTGCCTCCCCCCTCAGACAGGGGCTGAGAGCAGGGGCTGCCTACCCCCTCAGACAGGGGCTCCTGGAGGCAGGGGATCTCACTCACCCCAAATAGATGACCCCCTATTTGGGGGACCCAAACCTCCCCTCCTGGACCCATCGCTGACACCCTAACCATGAAGAGAGTGACACCAGAAACTGCTGTGAAGTTGCTTTATTCTCTTCCCTCCCGGGTGCCCTCACACACCCATGCACACACATGGGCACACACACTGGGCACACAGGCACGCGTGGCAGAGCTCCACTGGGGCTCCCCTAGTAGAGGCCGTGCTGGGCGCAGTAGCGGGCGCACAGCTGCCGGTGGTACTGCAGGTGGTAGTCCCTCAGCAGCCGGCCCAGCACGTACAGGAACTCGTCAAAGCAGATCTGGTTGTCCTTGTCCTTGTCCGCCGCCCGGAACAGCTCGGAGACGAAGTACAGCTTCCTCCGGCCCTGAGGAAGGGCACGGGGTCAGCCGGCACCCAGGCACGGGCCCTGGCCAAGTTTCAGGCTCCACCGCCCGAGGGGAAGAAACGGCGGGGAAACTGAGTGTGGCCCTAGGGGCACAGGGGGCCGGGCACCTGGACCTGGGCCGCAGGGGGCAGAAGGATAGTGCAGCCTGGGCGCTGCTGGCTGGCTGACCGGCTGGTGGCTGAGCAGGGCCAGGCGCCTGGCCCTCTGCTGGTGGCTTCTGAGTGTCTCCCCAGCTGAGCATCCACCCCGCAGGGTCGCCCCACCTGGGGCTGCACACGGGGAGTTGCCCAAGGCACCGCCAACTGCCCTCAGGTCTGCATCTCTAGCACCATTTCAGGGCCGGCACCCAGTGGGCCAGATTTCCGCAGGGGGTGCCATCTGCCCAGGATTGTTCCTGGCCACTGGCCTGTGTCCTAAGGAAAGTGCAGGATGGGGGAAGGCCAAGGCCATGGGCCCTGGGCTGTCCGGTGTCCCAGAGCACTGGCCCTGAGGGCTAAGGCCTGAGGGTGGCCAAGAAGAGCAAAGGAGCATTCAGGTGGCAGGGACGGCAGGGAGGAAGTCAAGGTCAGAGTGCATGAGGGGACAGGACAGGCCACTAGGAGGGAGCCCCGCACAGAGCGGGCTGACCCCACGGTGCCCAGGCTTCCTGCCCAGGCAGCTCTCACAGCCTCCTGGCCGAACTGTCATCTCCGCCCTGTGCCCAGGTGACAAGGTTTCCCTAGAAACAGGGGACCAATCACAGTCACCAGCGCGCCCCCCCTCCACCCGTGACCAGGGGCCTGCGCTCCAATAAGCCCAGGACAAGACTCTCCTCTGATGTTCCCCAAAGGGAGGCAGGGGGCCTGCAGGGACTAGGGGGCTAGTCCTGGAGGCAGCAGCCTTGGGTCATCCGGGGGCCTGGCACCGCGGGCACCGAGGGCAGACACTCAGGTTGGCCTTGCCGTCCCCAGGGAGCCGGGTAATCACATGGCTGCTCCTGATGGCAGAGAAGATTCCAGGCCTGAGCAGGTGGCTGAGCAGCCTAAGGTCAGGGCTGGGCCCCTGGGCTGGGCTGAGACTCGGCCTGGAACCAGACGGGGCGGGGAAGCTCCATTTCCTACCTGCCCACACCTAGTCCCTCCTGGCTTCCCCTTAACCCAGTGGTCGGCAAACTCATTAGTCCACAGAGCCAAATATCAACAGGACAACGATGGACATTTCTTCTGAGAGCCAAATTTTTAAAACTTAAATTATATAGGAGGCACAATGTTATTAACTTAATTAGGGTACTCCTGAGCTGGCCTTTGCTAAAAACTCAAAGGGCCAAAGAGCCGCATGTGGCTCGTGAGTAGCAGTTTGCCGACCACTGTCTTAACCCAACTACTACCCTTGAGGGTGGGTAGGAGGAGGCTGTGCTAGACCCCAAAAGAAAGGGCTGGACTCAAAGGGCAGGTGGGGCAGGGCCCAGGGAGGATTTAGGACCTGTTCTTAGGGGAAGCAAAACAAGCGGAGCCCCACCCGGCTTTGGGGTTAGGATGGAGCTGCGGGGGTTGCGATGCTTGGGCTGGAGCGGGGCCAGGCAGGGAGTTTCAGGAGGAAAAGCCGCCAGGGCCGTCCTCCCTCTGGTTGCTGATCCAGCCTCAGCTCTACCCCGCCCCCTCCCGCCTAAGTTCCAGTACTTTTGGGAGGTGCTTCTTATACAAAACCCTCACATCAAACCCCACAACCCGCCCACTACGCACACCACCTGCCCCCGGCCCCGCACCAGGCTCTCCATGAAGCGGGGCACGTTGTCCATGAGCAGGGCCCTCAGCTCCTCCAGGGACAGGGTCTCCACGTCCCCCTCCCGGGCCGCGTACTGGTGGTAGCTGCGGATGATCTGCAAGAGGGATTCCTCCACCGGCGTGTCCGTCATGGCAGTGGGACAAGGGCCAAGTCCAGAAATGAAGAGGTGGAGCTGCTGGGGCCAGTGGAGAATCTGGGAAGAGAGAGCAGCTCCTCCTCGGGGCCAGCCTAAGCATCCTCTGCCCTTTGCTTCCTGCCGGCCTGGTCTCAGGGCCCCTCCCTGCCCATCCTCGGGGCCTCCAATCATGGCGGCCAGTGTTGTGATGCCTCACAGGGCCTTTGGCAGCACAGCGGAGCCTTCATTGCATTCCTGAGATGACATCACACGCACGTGCTCCCTAAGATTAACTCAGCCAGTTTCAGGGACCCACTTGCCTTCAGAGCTTGATCTGAAACATCTCAGACTCACACAAGGTCAAAAGGTCATCCATCTCCCTGTCTCCCAGTTCATCCTCCCAGCTCACCCTCCAAGCTCACCTTCCCAGCTCACCCTCCCAGCTCACCCTCCCAGCTCATCCTCCCAGCTCATCCTCCCAGCTCATCCTCCCAGCTCACCTCCCAGCTCACCCTCCCAGCTCCAGGCTTGGGTGGGGCTACACACACAACTCCAATGCATTCCCCTTGCATGTCCTCCCTCAGTCAGTGAACCCCAAACTCCACAGTGAATGAAGGACATTCACTCATCCGACAACTATTTCTCAAGGCCCTGCCATGTGCCAGGACCCTCCAGGCCACACGGGGGGGAGAGGGGGGACCGCATGGTCCAAGGCCTGGTTGGCCTCATACAGCTACCACCTGGGCCTTTGAGTGGCAGGTGAACTCCTCCCCATCTCCAGCTTCCTGCCAGCCAGCCCGCCCTTCTGTCCCTGCCCTGCCTTTCCCCTGGGCGGGGCACGCAGCGGGTGAGTGAGCCTCCCAGAAGGGGGCGCCAAAGGGCAGGTTATTGAACCCGAGGTTAAGCCTCCACATCCCTGAAGGTTTGAGAGAAACAGGTAAAGACTGAAGCCAAACTTTTCCCACTTTACAGGGTGAGCCTTCATCTACCCAACATCATGATTCCCTCGGCAAATAAGTGGTTCACCAATACACTAAAATAAAATAAAATTGGCTCACGTGTCTAAGAGGTAAAACAATTTGCAATGCCACTGAGAATTTATTGAATACTTTAGATTCAGCCATCATTTCCCTGGGAATTTATCCCAAGAAAGTAATTAAACAGCAATAAATCTGGTAAAAAAAAAAAAAAAAAGGCAAGTAGGTGTTTACCACAGCAATGTCTATAGCCCTTTAGGGAAAATAAAGACCTAGAAACCGTGTTATCTCGATGTTTGAGAGAAAAACCTATGAACTAGTGGCTCAAATTAGGTTTGATTCCGGTCAGGGCACATGCCTGGGTTGCAGGCTTGAACCCCAGTAAGGAGTATGCAGGAGGCAGCCAATGAATGATTCTCATCACTGATGTTTCTCTCTCCCTTCCTCTCTGAAATCAATAAAAAAAATATGTATATTTTTACAAACAACCTAGTAGCCACCTAATTAATGAATTTGGCATGCCAATATGATCTTGGACAATTGGTAGGTAACGATTTATCACTTAAAAATAATTCATTTTTGACACAGAGCTTGTTGGGGTTTCATATTGTACCTCCTTCACACTGCCTTTTTTTCAATCTGGGACAAAAAACAAAAAACCCTCCCCCATGACATACACACACACACACACACACACACACACACACACACACACACACACTGTTCTAATACACAGTGCTGATCTCCTTACAGCTGTGCGGTAACCAGTCTTCTCGTTAATACTGTGCTGTGGACATCTGCTCACACACTAAGTCAAGGTAGCCTGATTTTTAATGAGTGCATAGTGATCATTTATTTGCATATGTCAATATTTGTTCTTTAATCCATTACCAGTAGCCATTAAATTACATTAGGTTCATACGATTCAAGGTTAATTTTTTTCTTAGCACTGACATTTCTTATTAGAGTTTATTAAATATAATTTTATTAACATTTTACACTCTATTTGAAATACATTTTATTTTAACTGAATATTACAGAAACTACAGTAAAATTTTAAGATGAGCTGCAGGTGGTTCTGCCTCTTGGAGATCAGGGAAGGCTTTGCCCGGAGCCGCTCTGGCTCTGGAGAGGCCCTGGAGCCGGCGTTGCCTCTTGAGGTCTGTTTGGCTCTTGCTCTGGAGCTGGTTCGGTAGATCCCAGAAGAGAACATGTGATCACCGTGACTGCCTTGGTGTGCCTTCTAGAGACAGAAACTCTCCCCTAGCCATCGATGGAGTCCCTGCACAAGAGCCACCCAGGAAGTCCTCCCAGACTGCAGGCCCTGGGTGAAACATCCCGCCTCAGTTGAGACCGCAGCCTCGACCTGCTGAAAATTGCTGGCAGAAGTACTCAGCTGAGCCATGCGGGATTCCCATCTAAGAAACTGTGAGATAATAAGTGTTTCCTGATTGTCGCTGAGTGATGGGTAACGTTGTCACACAGCAATAGATCACTAATACAGTTGCCCTTGCAGCAGGCCCTGGACCTGTCTTCCTCCCTCGCTCCCCTATCTCCTCCCAGGCTCCCTCCAGCCACTCCGACCTCCTTTCTAAGCTCCTCTCTGTCCAGAGACCTTCTGCCTTCAAGTGTCTGCACAGTTATGCCTTCTGTCGGGAGATATATACCTGAGTGTTAGGAGCCGAGGAAGGAGTCATCCACCTGGACAAATGACTCACCCACCGAGTGCCTGCAGGGGGGACAGAAGGAGAATTTGGAGGCCGTTGCTAATTTCTCCCTGAAGAATGTGGCCTGGCTGAGGGGTTAGCAGGAGACTGGGAGCAGGAGGCAGGGAGTGACCCGGCTGGATGAGGGGATCCTCAAGTAGGGGAGCTATTGAAGCAGCAGGGACTTGTCCAGAGGGGGCCCTGGATGGACAGGTGAGTGCCTACAGGCCTCCTGGCACCATGGACAGGCCCCATCTGTGGGAGAACTAGCGCTTGCTAGAACTAGCCCCTGCATCTTGCTTCTTTCTAAAAGCTCAGCCTCTACCACCTTGCCTGGCCTGAAAGAGCCTGGGGGAACGGCACGCCTCTTTCCACGGCTAGCGGAGTCACTGTCACTGATGACTCAGCATGAGCTCTCCACTCCTCTCTCCTGCCCTCTACTCCCCGCTCCTCTTCAGTCCTGTCTTCTCACTTGCTTCCCACTCTCTGGACTCCAGCACTAGCTTTACTCCTCACGCCTGGAACACCCATCACTCTGTGCTTTCCCCAGACACCCAGCTCCCAACATTTAGCAAACCATTGCGAGGATCAGCTCAGCAGACAGGGTGGCTCTCACCTCCACAGGGACACCCACACAGGCCAACACACACACACACACACACACACACACACACACACACACACACACACAACACACACACACACACACACACACACACACACACACACGGACACAGGACAAGGATCAAGTCCTCTGGGCACTGCTGAGTGTCCCATGCACAGTGACCAGTGCCATGTGTCCCCAAAGCCCTCCACCCAATGCTATTTCAGTGGTGCCATCCCCCTATGTCCCTGGGGTCCTGCAGGAGGGAGGGGTTAGAGTACCGTGTTCACACCTCCCTCGGCTCCTGCTCCCTGCAGTTCCTGGATCCCCAGATGCTGATCACCCCTTGAGAAGGAAAAGCATGGCTGGGCCAGCAGAATGCTCTGCACTGCTGACCCCGGGACCTGGCACACTGGCTGAGCTAGGGAGCAGGGGCAGAGGTGGGCAGAGGCCCTGCTGAGAGAGGTGGTCAGTTGTGTTGGAGGCCAAAGGGAGGGCACCCTCCTGGCACATCCCTGGGTAATCCCCCAATGGAGAATCCACAATTACATTCACCAAGAAGGCACAGTTCTGACAACATAAGTAGCCAAAGAAAAGCAGGAAACAGGCTGTTTCTGGGCAAGAGACACTTTATTGTTTCTTGGGGTTTCTGGAAGCCTCAGGCTTGGTTGGAATCACTGTCCCCCCCAGAACAGAGCGGAGCCCCATGGCTATGTTCATGGTAGTCCGTGGCTATGACTCCCAACACCGACAGGAACTCGGAAAACTCAATCTTCTTATCCTTATTCTTGTCGTGGTCCTCAAAGATATTGGCCAAGAAATCTTTGCCTCTTTCTTCCTGTGGGAAAGACAAATTCAGTCCTAAAAGTGTTATGGGTGGAAGAGGGGGAGGAGGCTGACAGGAGGAGGGGGAGAGAGACACCTGGGGCCGCATAGGTGTAGCTGGTGTGGGCCAGTGGAGGGTCTCTGGGGATGATGGGGACATTAGCATTACCCTGCAGGTCACTGAGGGAGATTCCTTGGACCAAATATCAGCATGAAAGAGAGACCTAGTGCTGGTGGGCAGACTCTGCCCAGAGCCCCACTGATCAATGAGCTGGTGGGTGGGTGGTCTTTACACCCAGACCTGCTACCCCACCCACTTCCAGGACCCCATCTACCTAAGTTCTACCCAGAAAATAAAGGTAGGCCCTATCCCTAGTCTCTTCATTCCTAACCCTCCTCTCCTATCTCCTATCTGCCTTCCCGAATCTTCCATGCTCAGTGCCCTTAGTAGCTTCTCTTTTTGTAACCAGTTCAGTATATTCTAACTATCAGACTAAATCAGGTCTACAAATGAGCTTTTCATTGTAATGAAAGGTGTTAAATTTTATCAGCCATGGAATTTCCATCGCCTTCCCTTGGATCTCAGAGAACTAATGGAAGCTTCTAGAGGCAGAGCCTGAGCCTATTGGCTTCAGTATCCTGGATGGAGAGTGACAAGTGGGAGGGGACCCATTCTTCACTCTCCTATTTGACCACCTAATAACCACCCTTGATCTCCAGATGCCTTTACTCTGGGCCACCTGTATAATCTCCTTCATCCTGATCATGACCCAGGAGAGTCCTCTTAGGCCTTTTTGCAGATGAGAATATGGAGGATGAGAGAATGGGATTGATTTGTCCAAGGTCCTCCTCCATGCCAGGCCTCAAGTAACCTTGAGAAATCACCCAGACTCACACAGGCCTTGAGGAAGTTGGGGAAATTCTCCGTCAGCATCTTCATCAGGCCCTTCATGCTAATTGTGTCATCAGGTTTGGTGTATTCGTGGAACAGATCGATCAAGTCCATCACGGACTTCTCAACTGGAGTGATGCTGCTCATCTTCTTTTTACTGGAAGCTGCCAGAGAGAAAGATGGGGCCGTTGTTATCCTTCCCCCCAGGTCAGGGTCCCTAAGTCAGGACAATGGGTGGGAACTGGGCATCCAGTGAAGTGAGGCTCAGGTGGAGCAGAAGGAACTGTTCACCTAGGAGGTGGGATGAGAAGCTCACAAGGGGAGTGTGACCAAGGCTGGGGCCTGGGCCCATGCAGGTCAGGGTCCAGAGGAGATGAAGGAGAAGACAGAAGCCCACTGTGGACAGAACCACAGGAGGCAGAAGAAGAGAGGGTAGGGGTTTACTACACAGAAAAGGACTGAGGTGTTTTAGTTGGGCCCTGAGCCAAACACAGCATTTGATGACTCTACTCTTCAAGAGCATCAACACCATCTGCTTCAGGGTCAATGTCAGGGTTAGAGTCATGGGGATAAAATAACTTCCTGACTAGTCTGGCTCACCTGCCCTGAACTGCTCTTGGAATGAGACCCCCGAGGAGCCCATTGTGAACATAAAGCAAGCTCTAAATGAAATGGGCCCTGGAGGCTCCCAGCGGTGAGTGTGAGTAGGATGGTGAGTGTGAGCAGAGATATACAGCCCTGTCCTGAGCTCCTGCAACTTTTCCTGGATCATCCCCACAGTGGGAAAGAAGGACTGTTGACCAGTGTTGGCATCATGTTTGAAATAAACAAAAATACCTGCCTCAGTTTTAGACTCTTGGATGGAATGTGGGGAGATAGACTCCTTCTGATGACCTTTATACCTCCCAGCTGTCTGGAACCCCAAGGCTAGACCACATTTAAGTAAAGAGGTCCGACTTCCCAAAGCCGGTACTTCCACCAACAGTCTGGATCCCAAGCAGAGAAATAGGACAGTGCAGTCCTCACAACTCAGACTTTCCAAAACTCTCAAGAAACATTGCAAAACTCTTACGGCTCACATGTGTGGGCATCTAACAAAAACTGCATTTCCTCATCAGCAGGGAGAAAGAACTATGTCCCTAAGTGAAACCACCCAAGGCCTCTGTCAACTTGGCCAAGGCCTTAGCTGAGCCCTGTGCACAGAAGGTCACTGGTCATTCCCTCAGCTGGGGAGGAGGTCCAAAACCTTAAGTGATGGGTCCCTGATCCATGTAGTGGCAGGTCTTCTCACCAGGGCAAGGTGAGTGGGCATTGCTAGCCTGGGTTTAGGAGAATCTTCAAGACTTTGGGAGAGACCCCCACTGTCCCCAGAGGTTGGGGTGCAAAGTCTGAGAAAAGAAGGCAAGGAGGAGAGGAAGGTTCCTACACTTAGCTCCCACCAGGGGTGTTTCACAGAGTTGTCACAGAAGAGCCAAAAGAGCAGTGGGAGCATCAGTACAGACATCTCGTAGATAGGCCCTCGGGACCAAGTGGGATGGAGTTGAAAAGACCCATAACAGGCAGAGTTGAGTCTGGATCCAGGCTCCTGAATCCTCTCCCTTCACCGCTTTCCTTACTCCTGCCCTGATGAACCCCCCTGGCAAACAGGTGCAGACTTACCAGACATGATGCGGTGTCACTGAGGATAAGGTAAGACTTCTCTGCATCTGGGCAAAGACTGGTTCCTTTATAAGGCCCAGTCTGGCTCCTCCCAGGCTCTGGGAGCCATTGGGCCATGTTCTTTCTCTGCTTCCTGGATCATTGCCTCACTCAGGTGGGTGGGACACACCTTGGAGTGTGTGTTCATCTTGTTGCTGTAAAATCCCAGGCAACTCCCAAGGGAAAACACCTAGGGCTATCTTCTGTCCCTCACTTCACTGGGTTAGGGGTGTGGAAGACAATGGGATGTGTCTTGAAAGCACAGGGATTATGGTAGAGAAAACTGGGTTTCTGAACTTAAAGAGGATGGGAATCTGAAAGACAGAATGGTCTGTATTTGCTCATCACCCAGTCCTTCCACAAGTTTGCTCTGGCATCTAATAAAACTCTGTCCAGTAATTAATAAGTCCTTACCTGTGCCAGGCAACATTCCTCCTATACCTTCAAAACCTATGAGATAGTGCTGTTACCCTCATGTTGAGGACAGGGAATTGAGGGAGTAAGAGGTAAACAAAGTTCCTATGGGCACAAGACTAGTAGACAGCAAGCTCAAGGTATGATCCCAGAAAAGCCTGATTCCAAACCAACCTCCTAACCCCACTACTAGACCTTGTGGGTCACTGCAGGGCCTGTGAACTCAAAGTACAGGGGAGGGAGTCAGGGTCACCTCACTCCCATCTTCATGTGGGGTCCTCACTGGAGCGCTGGGAGGGAAAGAGGTGGCATGACCCACAGTGACAGACCAGGTAGCACAGAGAGCATAGCACCTCACCTGCAGGTGAGGGAAGACTGGAGGTCAGAGCTCTGAGTTCTGGTGTTAGCCCCACACTCTTGAACTTCACTTTGCAGCTCTAGGGGCTGCCAGAGCCCATCAAGGAAGCCACTGTCTTGACTCAGGGATGGTGACCACCATGAAATGGGCCAGCAGGAGATTGGGCAAAGTTGCCTCCCCTTCCATGATGGTGCCTTCCTGTAATTCTTCAGTGATGTCCCTCTTTCCCTTATGCAAGACAGTCTGCTTAGGAGTCAGTGGCCATGCCCTAGGGTCTGCTGTGTCCCAACCCGCTGTGGAAAATCTAGTTCAGGTGCAGGAGACAGGCGCTTGGAGGTTAGGATGAGGCCTCGGGACCTCTGGGGAACGGCCCTGCTGACTCACTAAGGAATCCTTGTTCCTGCTCTCTGCTTCCCTTAGAACATCCTCCCATGAGTGATAGGACTGCTCAGGCATTGGGCACCTTGGGACCAGGCCCACCGCTGAGCCTGGGTCAGGTCCCCCCGACCTCCAATGCATTGGGCTTCCACACCTGGCCTTTCTGTCCCAGCACCAGCACCAGCACCAGCCCCCTCTGGTTCATTTATGTAATGTGTTCTCACCGCCACTAAAGGCCTCCTGTGAAGGATACACAGGAATCCTGGAGCAGAGGCACTGAAATGTCTTTCCCACATTCGCCCTGGTGTAGCTTTTGAAATCTGAACAATGTCAAGATACTTAAAATTCATTTTTAAGTTTTATATTTAAGTTTTCCTTTGTTCAATCTTGGCCTCACTTTCAGAGTGAACTATGTATAGTCTCAGCTTCCAGAATCTAAACAACGTTTATCTGTTGCAAGGTATCCTATTTTACTTATATACTTATTTTCCTTTCATCTTCATTACCATTCAATTTCCCCCAAAAAAGCCAAAAAATAAATACATGTTTTCTGTTTATTTTTATACATGCTCACCAATGTAAATAGTTATTTTGGTCCATGTTCAATCCATGTTGTTGTTTTTTTTAATATAGATTAATTATGTAGAAAAGGGCAACAAACTATAATACACAATCTAATGAATCTCTTACACTCATGACTATCCCCCAGGTCAAAGAATAAAACATTGCCACCACCAGCACCAGTCTGCTTCCTCTCTTCTCCAAAACCATCATCTGAACTTTTATGATGAGACCCTCTCTCCATTTCATCTTTATTTTACCACCTAAGCATACATTCCTGAACACTGCCATTTCCTCACTTTCAAATTTTACTTGAAGGGAAACATATTCTCTACATTCTTCTGTATCTGCTTTATTTTTCTCAGTATTACACATTTATAAGCTATATGTTGTACTCTGTTCTTCATTGTACTAGTGTACTATATATATCTTTATATGAATGTGACATATTTTTTTTATATAATTCTGCTTTAGATACCACATGCTCATCACTTTGTCTTCTTTTTGAATGGTTTCCAGCTCAGGTGACCAGGGAGTTGGACCTCTGAGCTCCTGTTCTTAGGGGAATCAGCCACTCTGTCTGGTGAGGGTGTGGAAAGGGCCCAGGGCAGGCCCTGCTTGTGTAAGTCCTGGGTGTTTCAGGAAGAAGAAGGGGATGAGCCCATGTTTCAGGGACCAACTTCAAAACAGCCCTGTTGATTGTCAGACATTGTGTTTGCAACTATTGTGACTGACAACCAAGTCCCTCAAGTTTAAGGAGAACCCACTGAATACCACTCACTGTGCTTTAAGATGAACATATGCAAAACATTTTTTTTTAAATTTATCTCCCCTCAATGCTCACACCTTAGCAGTGAAGACAAAGAATAAAGTAGAAACTGTGGATGCTGGAGATGTACAATGACAAACTCTATAACCCAAGAAGAAAAGGATAACTTTCTGGGGAGGAGAGGTGGATAGGCCAAGGAATTAAAATGAATTGGGCCCAGCTAGCATGGCTCAGTGATTGAGCATCAACCTATGAACCAGGAAGTCACAATTCAATTCCTGGTCAGGGTACATGCCCAGGTTGAGGGCTTAATTCCCAGTGTGGGGCATGCAGGAGGCAGCTGATGAATTATTCTCTCTCATCATTGATGTTTCTCTCTCACACACTCTCCCTTCCTCTCTGAAATAAATAAAAATAAATAAAAATAAATAAATAAAATAAATTGGTTAAGTAATTTCCTGTTGGTTAGGAAATCTAAAATGCTAATAAGTTTACATTCAGAGACTTAGTTCTCAAACAACAGATTCAATTTATTAGCTAGCTTTTAGATAAGATTGTAAGAGAGCTCCAGAAAAATATAGAAAAGAAGAAAATAGAATGTTTGCTCATAAACCCAGCATCATAGGTCAGAAGGGTACTCCTACATAACTCTTGAGGGCTATTTGTTTCAATCAAACTTGGCTTACAATAAAAAAGAAACACAATCTTATTATTTTTATTATTAATACTAAAGGACCGGTGCACAAAATCCGTGTACTGGGGATGGTGTCTCTTAGCCCAGTGTGCAACCTCTCAATCTGGGACCCCTCAGGGGATGTCCAACTGCAGGTTTAGACCCCATCCCTGTGGCCTGCAGTCGGACATCCCTCTCACAATCCGGGACTGCTGACTCCTAACCACTTGCCTGCCTGCCTGATTGCCCCCTAACTACTCCCTTGCTGGCCTGATTGACACTTAACTGCTCCTCTG